GAGAGAGGGAGAGAGAGAGAGAGAGAGAGAGAGAGGGGCGGGGGAAGACGCCACCCGGCCTCTCGTTGAACTCATTTGTCAAGCCCTTGTTACGTTCATTGCCTTGTGTACGGCATCAAGAATTTCTCGATTAGCGCGAGGTATGCGGAGTGATCAAGTAGATGGGGGCGATCGTGGCCTCGTCGATTGAATTTTTGTAGTAACATAATCTCGCAAACGTGATTATATAAAGTTGTTGCAAATGTATGCATTCAATGAGCAAGTTTTATGCTCTGAGATCTGATTAAATTTCTCTGCAGTTGCAGAAGGTGATTTATACACTGAGAGAAGAAATATTTAAGGGATATAAAAAATAGTTATAATTAATAAATATAATTAACATTTATTTATATTAATATAAAATATCTCTCAAATAATTTATATAATTTTTCAAATAAGATGATTAATTTTTTTTTCAAATAAGAAATTAATTGCCAAATAAGAAAACATACTCTCTTAAAGTGAATCGGTGAATAGTCACTGATATCAGTTATAAATATAGCACTGAGCACTTTTAGTGTAACACTTATAACTGCAAATCAGTGTATATTCACTGTTTTCAGTGATGTTTTATTGATTCATTTTAAGAGAATACATTTTCTTAAAATCAAAACTTTTCACAAAAGTAACTGCTTATTCTACTTGAATAAAAGAATGTTGTTTTAAATAAATATCTTTTATTAATTTATTATTAATATCCGTTGCATGTAATATTTTATATTTCTTAAATATTTTTTCTCTTAGTCATCATCTCATTTACATGTAATTTCTCAGATATTAATATTTTCACGCAAATTATAATAAAACTTATAGGATTTTGTAATCGGGGAATAGATTCTGCAGTAATTCGTCATCCTTTCACTTTATGTGTACTATTTATACATTCTGAAAACTGAAATGCGCTATTAAAACACTTGCTATGTTTCGAGTAAAACTTACTATATTTCTAAAGAAAAAACCTTAGACTGACAGTCTATTCCTAACCTATCCAAAACACATAGTAACGTTGAAAAGAATTTATATGAAAATGAAAGAACTATGATATTCTCTCTGTGTATGTTGCATCGCATACAATGCACCGATGTGACGTTTCATGATACATTCTACGTAGATTTCTACATCAAGAGCTTTGGCTTTGGGCTCCCAGACGGATGAACGAATGGACGGATGAACGAATGGACGCGTTTGATTTTCCTCGTGTAAAAGTCACGGCTATACTTTTTCCTCGATAAGGCACGGATTCTCCGACGGCTGAAAATAGACGTTCAGTTCCGCCGGTGCTATTCTCTTCTAGGCACTTGGCACTTTGCGTGCGTAGAAGCCTATACGCTCGACTTTGTCTCTGATCCCAATTGATCAAATTAAATCCGTGATATACGTCATCGACGAGGAGGCACGAATCGATGTCGTGCGCGTGGCGATTGGATTCACGTGCGGTAGGGCAAGCTTAATGCGTGCGTGAAACCGAGTTTCGTTTCAATTGAGACGATTGCGAAGATACACGGTCGCTCGTTTACGGATGTATTTCTGCCCAAGGACGTGCGCGGCGTGAATTGTGCGCGAAAGCGCTTTAGGAAATTTATTGTCTTTATTGTGTGTGCGACTTTTGTTCGATCGAATGTCGCATAAGTCGACGTCGAAAAAAAATGTGAACCATGGCAGTATCTATTCGGTCACATTTAATAACCGTGGGTAATAATGCACTGAAAAAAATACTGAAATATTTATTTGTGGGACATAAAGTTTATCTCTATGAGATATAAGGCTCATTTTTTTGGATAAACTTTATATCCCACCAACGAATTTCCAAGTATTTTTTCTCGGTGTACACACACGAATATACTGAGAAAAAATACTTGAAAATCTACTTGTAGGATATACAGTTTACTTACACGCAGAAACAAACTTTATTTCACAAAAATGTATCTTCTTTCGCAGAAATGAACTTTATATCCCGCAAATAAATTTCCAAGTACTTTTTCACTGTGTCAGACGGTCTAATTTTGTCGAGATCGTTAAGTGACTCTAATTTAACTCGTCCTATGAAAGAACTTCGCGATAAGCAAGGTGATCTTTTAATAACAACTGAGACCCATTAAGCACGTTAACGTTAACGACCTTCTTTCGTGTTAATTAGAAAATATTTTTCCGGATTAATATAATTCCTCGTAAGAGCACATAGCGTCCAGATGCTTAAGTCGCATTCATCTCGAGCGAATACACGTGAGAGACCAGCGAGGTGTGTCTCAAGGTCGTACGTAAAACGCGATAAAAAATTGCGTCAAATTGGACGATAAGTTGCCGATAAATTGGACGAAATTTCGAGAGAGTAATATCGAGAGCAATTTAAAACGGTATAGATTTCGTCCTTTCCTCTCAATCTCCTGCGTATATTATTATTAACACAAACATGGCAAACGAAAGGGAGAGACAGAGAGACAGAGAGATATTTTATTTTCTGAAACCTGTTACGATTCAATTCTTTCCTCGTGATTCATATTTAGCGCGATTAATTCAGCGCGATTAATACGAGCGCGAATATTACGACTACGGAGTTACAAAGTTGCATCGCACGTGGTAACGCAGGAAATGAGTTTTTGCGCGGATGTAATTATACCGTACACCTTGAAAGGCATTACGCGATCGGCGTTTTATCCTCGTGGGTGACTACCAATATATATCACAAGTAACATTTTCTATCGGAGGAGCCATCGTGACGCCACACACGTTGGCAATCGGCTATACATAACTGGACGGGTCAAAAATTGATGAAAATATATTCCCCGTGCGAATTTTCCGCCGCTGTATGTCAGAGGAGGCAGGAAAGAATCATTATTGTTTTCCTCTCTCCCACGAGCGACCTCCGGCTTCATAACGCCTCATTAGCAAACGCGCTGAAAGCACGATGATTATGTAAATGTACACATGACGAGAATAACAACATAT